GTAGATGTCTATAGGCATCAGTACCCACTTACCATCAAGTGGACTGTGTGCTCGTTTGTCACCCTTATTCTAGAAAATAAAATATTTAGAACTTTATACGTACAAAAATTTGGTACCCAGGAAAAGACTACATATTAAAAACACAGCGTAATTTTTCAATAGGACGAGCAATCAATTAAAGGCCAAGGGTTAGCGCTGGATTACGTTTTAATGAAACTGAATTTTTGCTATTGTGTGTATCGGCTTAAAACCGTCATATGATATCGACATAATAAGTATAAAGGTAATACCCCTATTGTGGGGGTATGGGGTGGCACCCCGCGGCCGCTATAATAAATTCATTTGCTAGTTTTTCCAATAATTCCCCGATTGGTGGAAAAATGACTGCTCTTCATATCCAATGCATTTATCTCTTTTTATCGTTGACTATTTACCGCCGACGGTTTTGCGTGCACTCCCGCTAATATACAATATTTTAGGTCCTTACCAATTAAAATGCTGTTCCTGTTGAAATGTCTACTTTGAAATGGAAATATGGCTTGACTTAGAAGAACATAAGGCTCTTCCGAAGAATGCCACCTGAGCTATCTGCATTCATCGACTTCCTGAATCCTGAAATTCTAAATTCAAAGGGATTTTATATTTAAGGCATATTATTCCTTTTCCAAAATTAAGTAAACATATTTTTTTACTGAAACTGGGAATTCTGTGAAACTATGTGATATTTTGACTTTACAAATGAACCTAGTGGCTGCTCGCAGAAGAAAGTTGATAATAACAAATTAAAGGCAACAGTAGAAGCGGATCCATCTCAAACTACGGGCGAACTAGCGTTGGCTTTTGATGTTAGTGTCGAAACATGATTAGATCCCTTACAGCAAATTTATAAAATGAATAAACTTAATAAATAGATACCTCACAAACTGAGCGGGCACAGCGAGAGGCCCGCGCCATCTTCCATCATATACTACTAATAGTTAGTAGGTTAAAATTAAGCAGACGTTTCAGTGCCTCATAGATCTAACTTAGCCAATCTGTACTTCTTTAGAACGCTCTTCCTTCTGAAATCAGGAGGGCCGAAAACCGTTTTTGTTCAAATTCAAAGTTCCACAAACTTCTCGTGAATAAAATGGCAAAATTGGCTCTGCGTTTCATAGTTAACTCCTCTTTACCATGATGCCATTATTATCATAAATTATGTCTTGTATATATGTATATTATATACATATATTTATTTTATTTTATTTAATCAAGTGTGTATATGTCCATTAGATATAACTATATACTTGACATCGTTATATGTATATCTATAGAAAAGCACTTCTTTTTAAACCTACCTCTTTTTAGCTACTGTAAAGTTGACACTCAACAGGTAGAGAATTACAATTATATAAGTAAATATATATTTTTTATAGAATTATGGTGACAAACCAGCATACAGTCCACGTGATGGTAATCGGATGCTGTGGCCCATAGACATCTACATTTATTCTTGGTTAAGAATCAAAATGCAGATGCGTTGTTACCCCTTTAGGAATAACACGGAATGCCAAATATCCAGTAAAAAGGGTCTCCGGTTCTCTACACTCACCATATAAAACATAGCAGTTATAAGCTGCTGTTTTACCCTGGCAAACGTGGCAGGTATGGCGAATATCTTCCCCATGACGCAATCAATGTGAAAGGCCTATGTTCTTATAACTTTTATAGGCTGTAATGAATGGAAGGATAGATAAAGTTGGCTTTTAATTTTCATTAAAAGTGAATTTTTTACCCTTTTAAGTAGACTAGGGAATATCATAATCTTAATCATAATTAAAAACTTTATTCCCTAATGATTTCTTATATTTAAGTGAACACTACACATTGAATAAAACTAATTTTTACGGATTTTATCGCGTTTAATTTTACTATTTTTAATTCCCGACGTTTCGGGTGCTTTACAGCAACCTATGGTCACGGGGGGGGGGGGGGGGGGGACTGAGATGTTTGACGTCCCTATGTCACAGTTAGCCCGGCTACCTTCAGTTTTTTAATATTAATTTTTGGTTCGATTTACGCAGAATGACCTTACAGCATCTTGAAGTCTAGCAGTGGTATGCTAGGGTTTGGATTTAATTTTGTTAATTATAGAATCCCAAGCAGATGGACGCACCCATCCATCTTCTCTATTGAAATTTGGATGTTTTTTAATTTCAATAGCCTCGCGAATCATCCTTGGGAGGAATCGGTGTTCTTTTGCGAGGATTTGTGGTTTATCAAATCTAATGTAATAGCGGGGACGATCTAGAACACGTTCACAAACTGCAGACTTCCCGGAACGTCGGTGCTTCAAGTCAGCTATATGTTCTTTTACGCGGGTTTTAATAGATCTTTTTGTTTGTCCTATGTAAGAGAGACCACATTCACAATCCAGCTTGTACATTCCTGCATGGTTACAATTGAGATGCAGTCTTCAATAGGTAAGCATGTAAACTGTGTGTGTGACTGAACATCAAAACTGACCATAGTTTCATTGTCAGCGAGATGTAGGTATTTTATCTCACTAACAAAATGGTACGAATCCTTTGTGTGTGCTCTAGTTTGTCCTCTCAGTGGTGACAGAATTCTTGCCAGGTGTTGAGCCAAGTTATAAGTTGGTGAACCGATTTGGCTTTGATAAAATCCCTTAGAACCGGAATTTAAAATCAGAACTATTTATTTTAAAAAAAAAAACATCTAAGTCGGTTCACAATTGACGAAGATATCGTATAATATACTCGTAATTGCTAAAATAACTTGATTTTTACCACATGTCTTTCTTTTTCATATTCTGACATTGTCATTCGATTCTATTTTTTATATAATAAGAGTGATAAACACACAGTCCACCTGATGGTAAGTGGATGCTGTGGCTCATAAACGTCTACATTTATCCTCGATTAAGAATCAAAATCCCCGAGGACAGGTGGAATGCCTCATTTTTAGTAAAATATTCCCAGCTATGTTTAAAATTTCAAATCTCAAGTTCATTGGGAAGTTAGTTTAAATTCAATTACTAAATTCGACCCGAACAGACAACTGCAGAGATACACGAAAGTGAGTTAATAAAAACGTGGTAGTATAATAAAAATTTAAATTGTAAGGCTTTATTTTTTAAAGCCAACTATAAAAAGATTGAAGACATGTCGATGCAGTTCGTCTACGCTTTTTAATCGTTTAAAAAATTAAAGATATTTTTTATCTTTAAGAAAATATCGAATAGTTCATCTTGCTACACACAGACGTTTCCACATTTTTTTTAACGGAAAGTACGTGAAACAATAAACTCTTCAAATTGCAATTAAGTTTTTATGATGCTAGCAACTGTGTCCAAACACGAGTTGGTTGCGAATCTTATTACTTTAAACGGGTAATTCTTGTATAATATATGCAATTGGTTTCTTGAAAATGGCTCTAACGATTTGTATGAAATTTTGTTTTTAAATAATGATTAACTTTCCAAGTTTGTTTAGATAAGTTGATACTTAATAACCCTCAAGTAAAAACCTCAAGTAAAGCCTCAGTAAATATTTTTTTTAATAAAAGCCAAACGAAGCTATGTCGCTCGAGTACTGAAATATAAAGCAAATACATTTATCCGTGGAAGAGCCATGCTGCCATTAATATAGTTGAGGCACGAATGTGTCGGCTCGACCAGGGAAGTACCACGCTCTCAACGATTACCAGCGTCAAATACCTGATCAATTCTGCTGTGTTTCGTATGGAAAGTGTAGAGAACCAGAGACCCTTTTTTCTGGAAACGAGGTATTTCATCTTAGTCTTCAGGGCTGACAACGCATCTGCATTTTGGTTCTTAATCGAGAATAGATGTAGATGTTTATGGGTCTCAGCATCCACTTACCATCAGGTGGACTGTGTGCTCGTTTGTCAAACCTATTCTTTTAGAGTAAAATAAATTCTAGATTTAATAAATAATTAATCTATGGGAAAGGATTATCTTCACTAATAGACTTACGATTGCTGTAACTGCTGAAGAACGACTTGGTCGGCTCAAACAGAAATGGACTACGCTCTTAAAGAATACCATCGTAAAATAGCAACATAGGACTTCTGTGTTTTGCATGTTGATTGAGGATAACTGGGGACCCTTTTTAGTGGTAAATAGGCATCCTAGTTTGGTCCAGTGATAACACTTCTCTATTTTGGTTCTTAATCAAAATTAGATGTAGGTGTCTTAAAAAAGTGATATACATTCTGTAAACACTACGGACAAACACAAGCTAGTGATACCAGTCTCTCGACTCCACATAGTCAGTAATTCATTCATGGGGCAATGTATTCGATATTACAACAAAGTCCCAGAAAATATACAAGGTACGAGTATTACTAAGTTTAAATATTTTGTCCGAGTAGTTAATTGCTCTTTTGTTTTGTTGTCTCCTATCTTTACTATATATATATATATATCCCTCGGATTACAGACACTATAGTGTCTATAGTGTAATATATGCTTTTAACCATCTGCCTTGTACGTATAGTGATCGTAAGCGCGACTGCTATCATGTGTTCCCGGGTTAAAGTACGCGGTCAAGATATGTTCAGTCATAGGGTTTTTCTAGTAAATAAATTCTCAGTAGAAGCCCAAAGTCATCAAATTGGCGGTGTCGCACCCCCGTGCCTCGAAAAGCACGTTAAGCTGTTGGTCCTGCGCCTGATCTCTCCGTTCGTGTCAGTTTGCCATCATATCGAACTTCGAGAGTGGGGGAAAATAGAGTACATCTCTGCTTGCGCACACACTCGTGCACTATTTTTCTGTCCTGCCGAGATGATTATTCTCCGTCGAGACCAATCGCCGTAACCGAAATTCGGTCTGGGGGACATACAAATATATTTGGCAAAGACATTCATTTTGAGTTCTCGAAGATTTCGAGAACTCCAATCTCGAATCTTCGAGAAAAGAATACCTATTCTTTTCAATAAATCATACCATCGTAATGCATTTTTTAAAGCCAATAAAAATGACTGCTTACTTTAACTGCAATTCCTTTCAAGAGAGCGCAACATTTAAGCTACGCCACACGAAGCGTAGAGGTGCTACGGCTACGAGTACGTGAATTTTTACAAATTTTACTCGACAACTATTTGACTCAAACAAAGTAACTACTGATTGTATTTTTATTAATAAATAAAGGTGGATTTTGAGCATATCTACATCAATCACGGGATGATCACTTTTGTAGAATATTTTCGTGCAATGAAGTATAGATAAAATGAAATTGATTGTAAAAGATTAAGAATGAAATATTGAAATTTGTTCACTATAGAAAACGAAAACAGTATCATTGATTATCGATAATTAGTTCTCTAGATCTCGCCATAAGTTAAATTAATAATTATTGAGATATTGCCTATAAAAATTCTTATTGTTGTGATTACCATCGCGATAAATCATACATAACACAGTTTTCCATCCTGCATCTATCGACGCCCTGCATATTTCATCAGGTCGTCGCTTCATGTGAGGGGTTGTTCTTTAATGCTAGCAATGGGCCGGCCAATATCTCTAAATTATCTTTATTTATATAATTCTTCAGTACGTATATTCAGAATACAATAGAATAGAAAAAACTTAAATAGAATTATTCAAATTTTTTGTAATTTTTTATTAAATAAAATAAAATATTGAAAGTCATGTTTTACTTTTACCACTGGTTTGGGAAATACTTCTGTCCTGCGAAGAACCAGCAACTAAACCCAGCGCGACTTTTTTTTAAATAAAATCAATTTACAATATGTTATTTTATACAATTGTTATGAAGACATTAGAAACAGCATGGTAGCGATCACCTCATTCCCAGGGGTTATTTATCAATCATGTACTCTTTAATAGTATAATTACCCTTATTTAAAAATATTATTTAATAAATATTTCAAACCTTTTGATAGATAAGGTCTGCATATTTTCTGGCTCCTCCTCTTTTGAACTCCTCCTAAAACTCCTCTGGCTGGACCAATCTTTATGAAATTTTTTGTGTGTGTTTGAGATAGTTTCAGAATAGTTTTAAGTCACAATAGGACCCGTTAGGTGGCGCTGTTATCGATATCCAGATATCGGATCGCTTCCTGTCTATAAAATGTTCATAAATTCTTCCCCTGTATTTAAAACGCACGTCAGAACTTTTTTGATTCCACAGTGCTTGTAGTCTATTCTTCTCGTCTGTGACGTTGAACGTCGTGCGGAAACACTGGAAATCTTTCATTTACCGTCATACTTGGGACTAATTACGATTCTCTCTCGTGATTAAATTTCAAGTAAATTCTGTCTGATTTATATCTGTCCGTGTGTTTTTAACTTTTTGTAAGAACGACAGCATTAAAACATATATGTTACTCAACAAATATGTATGTTATATGTTTATGTATTTAATTTTTTTTAATAATATAGTTCAATCAATCAATACAGTCTATCAAAGTCCACTTCTGAACGTGGGCCCTTCACATAGATTGTCCCCCAATTATTTGCCACGTATGTCAGGCAGGTTTTTCTTTTACTTTTTTATATAATATATAATCTTCGTGGCATGACTTGAGTGAGGAGTATGTTCAACATTGAACTGGTGGAGGGCTGCAATGATAATGATGATGATACGATGTAAAAAAAATGTATTTTCACGACATTTGCGTAAATGATTTCTTGAAAGTTAAAAAGCTTTTTTAAAAAGACTATATGTCGCCAGAGCAGTGTCCATTCTATTTTTTCAAATGCAAATAGAAATACCCATAGCAAGGAGGAGTGTCTTAAGTGCGGGCCGACTAAACCTGTGTTGGCAAATCGCCTGCAAAGCTTCCAGATTATACAAATTCCTACACCTAGAGAGGTCCATGCACTGTTTATGAGCTTGTATGATTATATTAATTTTATTTATATTTTAATTTTACAGTTTTAGTTATGTTATAGGTTATGTCAGTTCTTCCAGCTATATTGCACATTGTCACTTCGGCTTACTGATCCGTTGGGCTACGTCGGTTACTCTGGCATTTCTGCGGACATCCTCATTACAAAGTCTATCACACAGAGAAACTCCTAACATCATTTATTATTATTCTTTTTTTATCATAGTTGTGGTTACCCGTACTCCATATTAGATTTTTATGTACATTTCTATAAAGTATGTAAGTTTAATATAAAGACCAACTTTTATGCACCTTTTTAGAAGCCGAAGTAGCACTGGGCCTACCGACAAGGACCTACCGTAAATTTCGTTACTACACGGGCAACTTAGTTCAATTCCCGCTAGCATCAATGAAATTGTTAATTGCAATTTTAAGTGATGATTCACCACATGCTCGGCGGTGAAGCAGACTATTGTAAAGAAACCTACATTTAAGGACTAAGATATTTTGAGGTGAAGTCCACCACTTAAACAACGTGGTGGTTTAATAGCTCCGTATTTCTCACAGAAATAGGGTACCTGGGCCCAGCTTTTGGACGTATAAATCTGTAATTATACTTAGTTCTTTAGAGGTTTACATGTCATCTTTACATTTGCGAGCTATTTAAACATTTCCGATATAAGCTGCCTAAACCATGCACCCGTGGAATGCCCATGAATAGTAAACTAATATCCAATCAAAATCAAACATGTCGTGACTGCAGTCGATCGAACTGTCATCACAAATCATCCGCAACTGTAGCGTATTACCGTAAGAGGTAAAATGCGAAAAAAACCATACCGTATTGTTCCTACTAATAAAAAGTTCTAATAAACATGCAACTAAGCTACGGGCTTCCGGCAAATAAAACATAAAAATATATCCTATTTTCATAGGGCGAGGGTGGTACCTCCACGGAGTGGGGTGGGTAACCCCCCCATCTGCGCAAAAACCCAAAAACATCGAAATGAAAATGAGTGTAGCAGGGAGGCAGCGGAGCCTGTGTTGGTAATTCATTTTTAACATTATACTTGTGTGAGTGTTTAAAGTACAGTCGATCGCATTACCTTAATGTATAGTTTGGAGGAATACAACAGTCTTTTTTTTAATAATACAGCCTTGTATAGAATTCGGTTAAAGGAACTTTTTGAATAGAACCTATGAATGAAATGGCGGGAATTTGAGGTTTTGTAACTGTTACAGTAATTTATGTTTTTTTTTTAAATCTTACGTAATATCGACATAACGTATTACAGCAATATATTTATCTTAGCAGCCTCGTACCGGTAGGCGAAGTGTAGGGCGTCCCCCCACGAGATGGAGTGACGACCTGGTAAGACATGCAGGAAGTCGATGGATGCAGGTGGCTCAGGACCGTGTTTTGTGGCATTCTTTGGGGGAGGCCTATGTTCAGCAGTGGACTTGTGAAGGGCTGTAATGATGATGATATATACATATATAAAGTGTATCGAATAGAGAATTATGGGTATCGATATCGAAGGAGTTGACTTTGGGAATTGTTAGTAAGATCATATGGCTTAGAAGCCATGTTCTTACTGCAGGTCTAGGTTCTTGAGTCTAGTCCAGCGAAGAGAAGCAGCGTCAAAAGTTCTCACGTCTGCTACTATAACCGTCTATCCGCCTGCCCAGCATGACGTTAAAGACAACTTCTACCTACATCGGAAGAGATCCATGTCCAACTGTAGACCTTTAAGGAGTAATGAAAAATAATATATTAAGGTCAAGAAGGCACGCCGTGTACTCTGCTAACGAACGAGGCTCTGACGACTCTGAAGTACCAACTACCAAATGGCTAACCCAAACTTCGCAGCCTGGTAGGGAGGTGTAGTACCAGTCTTAGGGTATCTCGATTTGAGCTCATCAACCCAGCTGTTCCGCGTGGTGAAGCTGGGCAACTGTTCGAGATGCTTGGCTGCTAGCGCATTCTTGAACAGTGCTTGTTTTTCCGTTGGATTATAATGTGGGTGGTCTATTAATTATAATAAGAACTATAGTCATTAATAGACTATATTATTTTAACGTATCCTAAATATTAATATTTTTGTAGTGTTTAGGATTATTTTCCGCCCAGCAGGGTTAAAAAAGATGACTTTCGACGGTCGTAAACGATATAGAAAACTATTAAAATGAATGATATATCTGACATATTTCAATAATTTGGCGTATCCAATAAGGAGGTTCGTTTGTGAAAGTGCATTAAATAGGTCTAAATAGACGTTAGATTAAACCTACATCAACTATACTGTGGTAGTAGCACTACTTTTTGCCTAGGAGTCTATCTTGGTATCAGCCAGTTTATTTATAGGCTGCGAGTTATCTTAGCCCTCTTAGGTCAGAGATCTGAAGTCTTTCGTGTTTAGCAGTTGATAGTTACAGTTATATTTCTGCAGTAGCCACACTTAGGATATAAAACATAATCTATAATTTCAAATTATAGTAGCCAAAATAAATTAATTACATCACATTGACTCTAATATGTATTTATATTATATAATATAATATAGATGCTTGAGTGCTAAATGAATTTGATTCTTTTTTTTTATTTCATTCTCATCGAATTTTGTACCTGCCAGCACTTTTTGCTCTTTTAAAGATTGACTTGCAAATAATGCTCCAAGGTATTATCAGTTCATAGGTGACAACAATATAAAACAAATAAGTATTAAAAAAAATTACGTGAATTTTTGCTGTTATAATTTTATAATTATCTTTTTTCCCCTAATTGCTTAGCCTGAGTGTACACGGCGCGAATTCGCATTGTACTCCCTTATATCCCCACACACCTACACGCACTAGCGTGATAATAAAACGCAATTTTGTATTAGATTTAATTTGACTCGCACACACGTGTCGCACGCTTGTGTGCGTACGGAAGTGTGCGCGTTTTCTACGCACAAATTGATTACGATCGTCGACGAAAAGAGGAATTTGCATATAAGCAGCGAACGTACTTGGCGAAGGACTCGTGTACAGGGACAGTTAGTGGAGTTTAAAAGTTTCCCGAGACGTGTGGGGGTCGCATGCGTGATAGTAAGGCATAGTGCCGGTGCAGGAACGTCTCGAGACATTGCATCAGTTAAGGCGCGGCTTTAGCCCGCCGCGGCGCGCTGGCGAGTGAGCGCCCGATTTAAAAACTATACGAACCAACCTCCGCGCAGAGAACCCCGTAATACCACCCCCCGCGTAATGATTTTTTGGCGATGAATTTATATTCGCGCGCGAGCGGTGCCACTTTTTCGACCCCCCCACCACCCCCACCCCTCTCATTAACGCAACCCAGATATGCAATTCTGATCTTTGACGAGGAGGCTGTAGTGTCGGCGGGCGCCTCGACGGGAGTGGTGCCCAGTTTTGTTTTTTACCCGCCCGGCTTCATTATTGATGGCATCGGAACGGTAATGCGGAAGCATGTGTGAACGTTTCATTACAAAAGGTGGACGCTGCCCGCGTTAATATTGCAGACCCGCCGGACCCGACCGGACGGGTGGACGCTTCGGATACTGGCGACGGGGATAGAAAAAAAAACATAGCCCACAAAAAAACTAAATAAAAAATATTATACATTTAAATTTCGAATATTAGGCTCGAACTCCTTGCCGCGATCGCGGTCGAACTATTTGAACGCGTGTCGGCAAAAGTTTTCAGGCGAACTTCTGTAAAGTTTCTCACGTGCGTGTGTGGACGGACCGATCGCGTGACGGATTGGCCGGACTGTCGCTCTCGCCCCGTACGAACTTTTCACGCAGATTTTTGTTTCTTTTTCGTTTACTATTAGTGCACTCCGCCGACACAAGCCGTTTGTTTATCCGGCCGTGGTGTTACGTTACCGGACATTGACTTGTAGTGAATATGTTGATGTTTTGTTGATTGTTTTTGTTACGTTTTGACGCTGAACGAGGCGGCCGAGAACGAGGTAAGTGAATGACATCGCTAGAAAAAAAACTTTTTATTGTACTTGATAAACGTGGGTAAATATTTTATTTATTTCTTCACTTTAAAACACTTTACCTACATAACAACAAAAACTCTCTCAACTCTTTCAAATTTTAACAACTATGTCATCGAAAAATTCGTATCGAATAATGTTCCTGAGAAGAAATCTTAAACAAGTGCATTAAAATATCACAAAAATAATTACGGGGCTAAATACATCTCAAATTCGAGACCAGTTACTATTACAATTTGTCCTGCTAACAATTATAGCAACCCTTTGTAATGTGACTATTATGATGTTAATCGCGAACTGGCCGCAATGGACCGATGCGAGGGTCTAGCAGCGTTGCAGGCATCCACGGAGCTCGGCATTAGACCGTCTTGCATAAATAATTACCCGACAGTAATAGCTAAAGATTTTTGCACCTATTTTTGTTGAACCGTTAAAATTTATAACAAGATTCGTCAGACTTGTTAAATATATGATTATAAAGATTTTTATTAGAATAGACTAACTTTTTAATCGACCAAAAAGGAGGAGGTCCTCAATTCGACTTTTTTCTGTGTTACCTCGTAACTTTTTTCTAGGTGGACCGATTTTGATGATTCTTTTTTTATTTGAAAGCTGGTGCCTCTCATGTGGTCTCATACAAATGATCTAGGTCTGACCAGTAGTTTTTGAGTTATCTTTAATAATAATTTATATTGAAGTCGGTTGCACAAAAAATTTAATAGATTACAAGTAATCCTTATTTTATGTAATTTTTTACTTTTACCGCTGTTTTGGAAAAAACCTCTGTCCTGTAAAGAACCAAATAGCACAGCGGGACTTTTTTGTCGAAGTATTTTTTTAGTTTTTAATATGGTAATAAATATTTGTTTAATATGTTATATTTAAATGTTATGTAAATAAATTAATATTGATCTTAAAAGCAATTGTCTAAATTCTAATTTTTCATATGAACATTAACAACGAGGTTTTTATAAACACGTGTGTTTAGTACGTATTAAGTTAAATATTTTAACTCCAAATTCTGGTATTTTAGGAAAAAATTGGTATTTGAGGAAGCAATTTTATGCGAGTTAAAATGACATTGTATTCCTCCAAGAAATAGCATAAATATATTTTTATATAAAAGCTGAACAGACAAACAAACTGACACACACAGCCAACTTTAAAAACAAAGTAGACTACAATGCTTTGTCACATCTAAAGACTAATATAGAATGCGTCTAATTAATTTATTGACTGTTTATATAACCTGCTGAAAGTTAAATATATTATGTATAGAGATAACTGAGAGTTGGAGAGTTTATATTATGTACCTTGTGCTTTGAACATTTAGAAACGTGAGGAGGCCTGTGACCAGCAGTGGGATATATATGAGCGCACCAGTTGACTGTCTTTGGTCTGACGAAGAAAAAAGATTACAGCGTTGATGTCACCTGGAATCGAATCCATATTGCTAGCATGCGTTTTAAACATTCAGAAATGAAAGGAGCCTTGTGCCCAGCAGTGGGATATATATATATATATACATGCTGTAACTTCATTTTTAAGTGTGTTAAATGAGCGCACCAGTGGACTGTCTTTGGTCTCATAAAAAAGAAGCGCCGTTACTATGTTTTTTTTTTTTATATAATGTCCACCAGGCCGAATTTTGGTCGCGGCGGCTAGTCTCAACTGAGACTACCCATCTGCGCAGGACAGAATTATGTATAGTGTCCGAGTATACCTATGCGCAAGCACAGGTGCACTCTCTATTCGCTCATTCTCATAGTCCGATCGGAAGGTTATCCGACACGACCGAGGAACAACGTCAACTTCCTAACTCAGGGCTGCTCCTGAGAATTTCTTGGCACAAAAAACCCAATAACTGACTTTGGCCCGACCCGGAATTCGAACCCGGGACCTCATCATCAGCAACCGCGTTTTCGACCACTACACCAACGAGGCAGTCTTTTTAAATATACGAGTTAGCTGACCACCTAAAGTTAAGTGGCTAGAGTAACCCATGAACAGATACGATGTCACCCTTGAGAACTAAGATGAAATGC